ATATACCCAGAGAGCACAAGACGTCGGGCCAACAGTGGAATTTAAATGACAAACATCGGCCCAATGTTGGGCCAGTGTTGTCATCGTAAACCAATGTTGGTGGTACGCTGGAATATACTGGCCAACGTTGGCCTGACTTGACCAGCGGCTCACCAACGTTGGTAATCAATTGGCTTAGGCTGGCCAACATTGGGCTATCGCAGCCAATGGCATACCAACGTTGACAATCGATTGGCTTAGACTGGCCAACATTGGCCAATCTTAGCCAACGGCTTAGCAACGTTGGTAATCGGTTGGCTTAGGTTGGCCAACATTGGCCTGTCTTAGCCAATTGGTTACGAACATTGGTTATCAATTGGCTTAGGTTGGCCAACATTGGTCCATGTTAGCCATTGAGTTGCCAGCATTGGTTATCGATTGGCTAAGACAGGCAAATGTTGGCCAGACTAAGCCAATCGATTACCAACATTGGTAATCGATTGACTTAGGCTGGGCAACATTGGCCTGTCTTAGCCAGTGGCTTACGAATGTTATACTTAATTGGCTTAGTTCGTTTAATGTCCTGATCGCGCACGCTGAGAACATTCTGTAGCTATGGCTCTGGGGGGAACGATTCTTCTGTTTTCACACGCACAGCAAGTTAGCACCAGAATTAGAACGCTGTATGCATTGCGAGCTGTAGCAATTTTGAACATCCACGAAGAAAAACGTCGTAGTCGCTGACAGGTTAAAAGTAAGCGCTGCGGAGGAGGTCGCCTCCTTCCGATCTTTCGATCTACAAATATGAAAAAAGATAGGAGGAGCTTCTACCACCTGTCACCGACTATAACTAACACGCGTCTTCTCAAAACTGATAGTTATGCTCAGTAAATTCCTCACGAAATACAAAATGCACGCTTCCTTCGATTTGTGTATATGTTTATACGGCAAAACGCATAGTGCCTCTTCTCTTATGCCCATTTAGCGACGCAGCCGGGAAACCTTTCCAAAGGGGGGGGGGGGGGGGGGGGGCAGGGAGGGTTCAACCCCGAAAACTCCAAACGCCTCCCCAGTACCTAGGACACGTGTGTATTGTCAGCTGTATGTGATCTTGAAAATCTCAAACCAACCCGCCTTGCTGAGCGGCAAAACACGGCCTATAATTAAGATGAAACCGGAAAAAATTGAAAATGAATAAAGAGCACTTATATTTTTAGGAACAAAATAATACCTTAAACAAATATCCAGCGATTGATTAAGCAATTGCATGTCTTCACGAATAAAAAATCGCGTTCAATTAACATCTCGAGCACCCTATGTTTAAGGTAGAAGGTGACATAAAGTTGATGCGCATTTCAATCTCCAAAAAAAAGGTTATCACGCAACATATAACAGAAGGAGCTGAGCATTAAGTCTGCTTGCCTAAAAACTACTTCAAAGTGCGTACAAAATACGGCAACTGCAGTAATGACTACGGCAGTGACAACGCCCGCAGAAATATAAACTGTAATAGAGCCAATTTGTTAGCAACGTTGGCAATCGATTGGTTTAAGCTGGCCACCAATTGTCTGTCTTAGCCAGTGGCCTACCAACGTTGGTAATTGATTGGCTTAGTCTGGCCAACAGTGGCCTCTCTAGCCAATGGCTTACCAACATTGGTAATCGATTGGCTTAGGCTGACCAACGTTGGCCTGTCTTAGCCAATGGGTTACCAACATTGAAAATGTGTTGGCGCAAGGTATCAGGGTGCCTCGTTTTCTAGAACCGAGCTTTAAAAACGAATAAAGTACCCTAGGCAATGAAGATCACTGTTGCCAGAAGGCGCCTTGATAAAAAGGCTGCTAGGAAGACCCTCTAATTAAATAAGTTATTCATGAATTAAAACTGATTGGAAAACTTTATTAAATACTGATTTGAGGGAAAAGGTGTCAATTGAAAAATTGTATTTTGAATCGATTCTTGATGAAGAAGTTTACAACAAGGTACACCCCAGGCAGCATACTTGCTTAGACTAGCGATGGTTCAAAATTTGGCCTTGGCCATACTAGACTGGACCGGGACTGCCCAGGGAATTCGGTGAACTCCCAGCATGGCGTCTCACTGAATTCCCCGGGCACCGGCATTACACGGAGCTGCCAGGGAAGTGATTTTCTTGGCGTCTTCTGTCTCTTTTTGGTCCGAGCAGACCAGGGTAGACAAACGGGCGGTCACCAAAAATAAAAAAAAAAATTGTAACGCGTCACTGTAATCACTGGCGTCAGGATCCCACGGAACTACAACGGAGTGGTTTTGGGTCGTGTTTATTGTCTTTGCGAGATTCGGAGCGCCAAGAAACTACTGGCGTTGTCACGAAGCGCTCTAGAAAATGCAAGTCTCGAAAATCAAAAGATCAGTTCATGAGTGTAGAGTGCGAGCCGAATGAACGCAATAATAGAGTCAACAAATTGATCCCTCGATGACATTTACAGCATTCATGTCTCAAATCGAAACATCTGAAACCGGAAAAACCGCGAGATAATTTTTCTCTGTTTATTTTTGAACATCATGCGTCGTCGCAACGGTTCACGTACTTCGCGACATCTCTGCTTCAACTTCCCTATTAAAAATTCCATCAAGATACGTAATTTGGGACACTGACTGCCAGTCAGGAGCCTTAGTGGAACGTGATGGACCATCATACGTCATCTGATGGTCCATCAGATGACGTCTGACTGCCACTTCCATGGGATTTTCATCAACAAGGGCAGCATTTATATAAGAGTAAAGCTATACGCACTCAGAATTATCGCCAAATGCCTCAATAAAACAAAATGTTCGAGAAAAAAAAAAAAAAGCAGGCTTACCGCGGATTGAACCCGCGACCACTCGCGCACAAATCGGACACCTTGACCCCCATGCTACGCCGTCGGTTTGAAAACTAGATTTCACCATTCGTTTTATACGAGATGCTTCGGTTGCAAATGCAGTTAAGACTTCAGCATGTTCTGCAAAGCATCGTACATCACTCGCCGTACTTCAGTTCTACTCACCTGCCATGTAGAGTATTTTCGCGCCATAGAACGATCCTTTTGTTCGCGCGTCTCCGGCCCCGTAGACCTGGTACCCCTTGTCGTCTTCAACTACACCGCTAAAGTCCCTTACATCGTCGGAACTCACAACAGGTTGGGTCTTGTCGAGTAGAAATTCTACTAAAACATAAAACACTGTAGAGCCCGGGCAGGATCGACAGGTTGGAGCAAGCGGGCAAGCAAAACGAGTCGAAAGCGATCGTTCATGAAAGCTCAACGAAGCCTCTATGGGCGAAGCGAAGTGCGAAGTGGCGTTTTCGGCGTTTCGGCGGGCTTCTGATCAAGGTTGTCGGTCGGCTGCGTGTCATATCTCTAACATCGGCGGTTTTATGGGCTCACGTCCCGAAATCGTTTTCTCGAACATAGATTACTTTTCGTATTCATAGATTTGACGAAATAGTGGTACCCGAACGAACTTTACGTCCTTTGACCGTACGTCTGTCTGCACGTCAAAGCTTTTTGACGTACAGTCAGAGCCAATCGATGTACAATCAGAATCGCCACCAAGAAATCTTGATGGAATTTCGCGGCGGCCGACTGCCACCAGGAAACCATCAGAAAGCCGACAAGTGGAGTCTGACTGGAGTTTGACTTTCGGTCAGTGTAACTTGTTGGCCAATCAGACATGCTTGACGTACAGTCGGGCACAGTCAGCGGTGCACTAGAAAACATCGACTGCCAAACAGGGTTACATTGATGGATTTTTCCTTCGGGTTGGAATGAACCGCAACACATGCTACGGGCTCTGTTGGCCTATCAGGCGCCAAAAAAGTTGCGATGCTGCGCGGGAGATGCGCCAAGCACTGGAATGGCTCCGCAGGCGTTTGCAAGGTCTGAACGATAAAGCAGCCTCTTGTAACACCAGCGAGCTAACGGTGCTCGGAGTTCCGACGCTCACTTTACAGCAGAATGTGCTCGGTCGGCCAGATCAAGGCGCAGTTGCTTCTCATGCCGCGATTGCTGCGCCGTTGCTCTGTCTTGCACCGACATTCAAAACAACTCGCTCGAGTCTGCATGCGGGGAAATATTTACGAGTCTATAGCGCGATATAGTGTCGCTAGCTACAACGTGTAAAACGCAGTCCTCACCTCGACAGGGGCTCAAGCAGCGGCGTTATGTCCGTCGACGCGCACGTCGAGAACGACGAAATATACATTAAAAAACTTTTTAGTACCCGAAACAAATGTTTAATTACTTACAAGTTAATTTCGCGCAACCTTAGGGAAGTCCTATTGCCTCACTGTTCTGTAAATTCCTCAAATATGCGGACACTATTGCTGATATATTTCTTTTTTTATTATTCTGCGATATAAGTCGTTAGCACTTTCGAGTCCAGAACCCCTCTATGTGTTGCCATCGTTTTGTGAGATTCGCGTTTTTTTTTTCTTTAACTTCAGCTTTAGGAATCTTTGCATCTGTGTTACATTTATGATTACATGGTTTAAGAAATAGTACAGTTTTCGTTACATGTACACAACCCTCGCTAAATACAAAAATAATTATTAGCGTGCTGCGAAATCTACGGCACAGGTTATTTATCAGTACTATTTTTTTCTTTGTAATTTCAGTTTATTTGGGGACATCGTGCGCAGGAAGAAGACGCTCTTAATTTTGCATTTATTTTAGAGTGTGGGTTCTGAAGAAACCCTTCAGCGGAGCGGGAAGAAGACGAGGAGGCTCGGGACTGGGCCCGAGCGCGAGCTACAATTTCTATCGAAGATTTTCGTTCGGAACTGGGAAGTGTGAGTAACGCAGCTACCGGTGATTAAAGTAGTGTTTTTTCTTGTAGTCATCAACGCTTCGGCTCAATGGTTTCGACATTTTGGTGCCGAAACCCGGGATCAGGACTGTACGATGGGCCAGATGAGAAGGTGTCACAAGCGTTGATGTAACGAGGCTACAGGACAAGGCACCATCCAGCTTGAGAACGCAAGGGACCATAACGACGCTGCCATGGATCGGCTGAAACAGAAGCGAAAAGCCCTGCGTTCACAGGTAACAAAGCTGCTGACGGAAATCGATACAGCTACCCAAACCGAAGTGCCGATTGAGGAAGAGCTCAACGTCTTACTGACTCGTCTCAACGCGCTACATGGTCAGCTTACCGAAACGGACTCCGCCCTCGAACCATTGTTGGCAGCAAGTGACATCGAACAAGAGTATGCTCGGACCGTCGAGTACAGCGATCGTATCGTCACCTACTCGGCAAGACTGACCTTCAAGGTGCGGACCCTACACGAAAGAGCGAGTACAAGCGGTCAAGAAATCGCAACAAACCACCGCAGTCCCACTTTGTCAGTCAAGGTCAAGCTACCAAAACTGGAACTCTTGAAATTCAACGGACAACGTCAACAATGGCAGCCCTTCTGGGAGCAGTTCGAGCAGGTCATCCATGGTAACCCAGAACTGTCATCGGCCGAGAAGTTCCACTACCTCAGATCGGCGTTGTCGGGAGAGACTGCTGCAGCGATTGCCGGATTGCCACCAACGGCCAGCTGTTATGAAGATGCGCGGGAGATCATAAAGTCCCGTTACGGCGACGAGGCGCTGCTAGTAGAGGACCACATGATGAAACTAGCAGAACGGCAGCCAGTTCGGACCTCGCAAGACGTCCGAGGACTACGACGACTACACGATGACCTCCAAGCGCATATAAGAGGACTCAAGTCTCTAGGGGTTAACGAAGATTCTTATTCGACTCTCCTTTGCCCCCTTGTACTTCGGCTGATTCCAGAAGATATTGTGCTAACCTACAACAGAAATGTCGTTCGGAAGAAAGAACAGCGTCGCCCGGAATGTGAGGCTGTAAACGCGGCTGGCGAAGGAAACCAACACGTTGTAGAACCGTCCCAGCTAAGGCAACTACCATCACTTATGCAATTTCTGAGAATTGAAGTTGAAAGTAGAGAAAGAACGACAGTCACAAAAAAAAAACAGAATCAGGAGGCATAACAAGTAAAGCAGGAAAAGAGAGTGGAGTAGCATCTCGTGCAGCAAAGCACAATTCAAAACCATTGACAAAAGGAACGGCCGCGACACTTCTACAGAAAAGTGACAAGCAGAGCTGTGTTTTCTGCAAGTCAGCAGACCACGAGACAAAGCTGTGCACAACAACGATAGGTCTTCCCGAGAAGAGGAAGATTTTAACGAGCTCGGGAAGATGCTTTAGGTGCACCAAGAAAAACCACCTGGCCAAACAATGCAGGAAAAACATTTCTTGCTCCAACTGCCAAGGTGGACACGCATCAGTCATGTGTGACCCAACGTTCTTGTCAAGCTCAAGAGACGACAAAGGCAGACAAGAGGAAAAACTGACTTCTGCTGGTCCAGTGGCTTTACAATCTACGATTAAAGACGGGGTCAACAAAACCGTGCTCCTCCAAACAGCGACAGTGTGGAGCTTGGGACTGAAACAGCGCATCCTTGTAAGAGTGCTATTCGACGCCGGAAGCCAGAGGTCTTTTGTCACAGAACTACTCTCACGAAAGCTCAGATCCAAGCACCTGGGAAACGAAAGACTGACGGTAGGAGCATTTGGCGACCACACGACAGAACGAAACTTTCGCAGAGTTCTTGTGACTCTTGAAAATCAGAGAGGTGAAGTTTTCCGTTTGGAAGCACTTGAGACAAGCCGTATTTGTGGTCAACGATTGCCCTATCCAGGAGAAGAATTGCGTCGCCAACTGAAAAAAATGGGATACGCGGCCGCGGACTTCTGCGAAGCTGAGGGACCCAACGGCGTGGACATACTGATTTGAGGCGATTGCTATTGGAACTTCGTCACGGGCCAAGTTAGGAGACTCGACGGAAAACTTCGAGCAATCGAGACGTCGCTTGGCTGGACCGTACACGGTCCAACAGAACTTTCAGCATCTGTCATCAAGAGCTCACAGATGGTCGTTCTCAACGCAACGACAAACAACATGGATGCATCTGAAATAATGCAAAGGTTTTGGAACCTTGAATCGATTGGTGTAACCGACGAACCTCATCCAGAGACAGAACCCGTGATCGCGTCTTACAAAGAAACAGTTAAGAAGATCGGTCTTCGGTACGAGGTGGCCCTCCCGTGGAAACCCGTAGTGAACTTAGACGATAACAAACAAGTTGCGGAGAGGAGGCTTCAGCAGCTAACAAGGAAGTTAACTCAGAACCCTAAGTTGATGAGGGACTATGACGCCGCGATCCGGAAGTACACCGAAGGTGGAATGGCAGAAGAAGTGTCAGATGAGCAGACTGGATCTCGGAAGTTCTACATGCCACACCAATCAGTTTGTCGCGAGAGGAGCACCACCACTAAATTGCGAGTGGTACTTGACGCTTCTTCCCATAGCAAAAGCTCGAAGTCGTTGAACGACTGTTTGGAAAGTGGCCCCAATCTGAACCCGGATATTGTCGCGTTGCTTCTGAGCTTCAGAAGACATTGTATCGCCCTAGTGGCCGACATCGAAAAGGCGCTTCTTGAGATAAGTATACAAGAAGATGGTCGCGATGCGTTACGCTTCCTGTGGTATAAAACTACCCCACAGGTCGGAAGACCACTTCCTCCAATTCTCATCTGGAGGATGACGAGAGTTCCTTTTGGAACTACATCGAGCCCATTTTTATTGTCTGCGACGATAAAACATCACCTGGAAACAATGAAGAACGAGGATCCAGACACCGCGGTGCTGCTGCAAGATTCCATTTACGTGGATGACATTCTTACCGGTGCATCCAGCGAAGAAGAAGCCACTAAGATCTTCAAGGAATCGACAGCAATTTTACGAGCAAGCGTCAATGAAGCTGCACAAGTGGGTGTCTAACTCGAAAACGCTCTTAAATGAGGTTGACTCGAATCACCACGAGGAACACCCATTGGGGCAGGTTGCGGGAGTTTTCAAGGTGTTGGGACTAACGTGGAACCCTGCCACAGACCTCTTAACATTTGCACCAGACTATGTTTTGAACTTCGTAGAGAAGCACTCAGACACAAAAAGGTTTGTCCTACAGACTACAGCCAGACTCTACGATCCCCTAGGATTCATCGCGCCATTTGTCGTGCGAGCAAAGATCTTATTTCAACAAATCTGGAAACACAAGATGGAGTGGGACGACCTACTGCCTGTTGACCTGCGCAGTGAATGGCACCGATGGTGTGCGGATCTTCCATTGCTATGTGACGTCATGGTGCCACGTTTCTACAGACGGGGAATAGAGGGAGTGACGATCAGGACAAACCTGCACATCTTTGCCGATGCAAGTCCTCAGGCGTATGGAGCCGTAGCATACGTAACTATGAAGAATGATTCCGGCTCCACGACATCCACGATCCTGCTTTGCAAGTCTCGAGTGGCACCTCTAAAAGAACTTTCTGTAGCGAGGCTAGAACTTTTGGCATGTCTTTTGGCAACCAGACTGAGTGTCTACATTAAGACCAAGCTGCAGGAGAACATCCACGAAGTGCACTTGCGGACCGATGCGAAGATAGCTCTTCATTGGATCCTCGGAGAAGCAAACGACTGGAAACAGTTTGTAAGAAATAGAGTCGTTGAAATCCAACGAAACTCTGAACCTTGCTCTTGGAAACACTGCCCAGGCAAAGAGAACCCGGCTGACCTGGTGACCAGAGGAATCACAGCCAGGGAGCTGCTCGACAGTGAAGTATGGTGGAAAGGACCTAGCTGGTTAACAGTACGAGAGCGGTGGCCAGAGAAGTCTGAACCGCAAGAATTCATAATAGAAGAAACAGAGAAGAAAAAGGTTGCAGCGTTACCCACGGCAACAGCAGACCAAACGATGGTCCCAGAAATTGACCGGTTTAGCACAGCTATGCGACTTCGGCGAACAATGGCGTGGGTAGTCCGCTTTATAATGAAGTCTAAAAGAAAGAGCGCTCAAACTGGACCATTAACCGCGGAAGAATTGAACAGAGCCGAAAAATATATAATAAAGAATGTACAACGTAGAGCCTTCGAACAGGAGATAAAGAATCTTCAAGACGGCAAAAAACTACCGGCAGATTCTCCTATAAGAGACATTTCTCTTTTTTTGGATAACGATGAAATACTTCGGGTAGAAGGAAGACTACAGTTCTCCGAAAAATCCTTTGAAGAAAGGCATCCCGTTGTGCTGCCAAAGGACGACCACTTTTCGAAGTTGTTGATAACTGAAGCACACCGTAGACTATTGCACACGGGAGTGCGTGACACACTCGTGCAATTGCGTGAGCGCTTCTGGATCGTGAGAGCTCGGCAAATGATAAAAAAAGAAATCAAGAAATGCATCGCATGTCAACGGCTGAACGCCAGACCAATGTCGGGAGTGACGGCGCCCTTGCCCGCAGATCGTGTCACAGAAGCGGAAGCCTTTGAGGTCGTGGGTGTTGACTTTGCGGGACCCGTATGGGTCACAGCGAGGAAAACAAAGAGGAAGGCATATCTCACGTTGTTCACGTGTGCAGTTACTAGGACAGTACACTTGGAAATGGTACCGGACATGACGGCAGAAACATTCCTGCGTGCGCTCCGACGATTTGTATCAAGAAGAGGCGTGCCAAGAGTGATCTACTCTGATAATGCGTTGGCATTTAAGAGAAGCAAGAAAGACTTAAGCGAGCTTTGGAATGTTCTACGAGATGAAGAAGTGCGGAATTACTTCGCAAACAGCAGGATACAATGGAAGTTCATTGCAGAACGTGCCCCGTGGTGGGGCGGATTTTATGAGCGTTTGATCAGGTCAGTCAAGAACTCTTTGAAGAAAGCCATCGGACGAAGAGTCCTGACAGAAGAAGAGTTAGTGACTCTCCTCACTGAGGTGGAAGCAATCATCAATTCTCGACCATTGACCTACGCGTACAGTGAAGCGCAAGAGCCTCAGCCACTATCACCGTCGCACTTCACGACAGGGAAAAGACTTACGTCGTTACCAAAACCGTCCGACTCCGACTTGCAAAACGGAGACGCAGAATCGTTGCGAAGGCTCTGGAAACTCAGGGAAGACTTCCTGAAAGAGTTCTGGCAACGATGGTCAAAGGAGTACCTAACGGAACTCCGATCACTGTACAAGACAAGGAGGTCAAACCGACATCTCGAAGTTGGGGACCTGGTTATTCTTCACGAAAGCCAGCAACCACGCCAGCTGTGGAAGATGGGAGTTGTGAAAACGTTGTTTTCCGGAAGAGACGGAAGAGTACGAGTCTGCGAGATCCGACTTCCCGCTGGTGCGGTTGTAAAACGACCAATACAACTTGTGTACGGACTAGAAAGTAGTTAAAAATGAACTTTGTTCCCTTTTGAGGGGTGGATGAAGAAACCCTTCAGCGGAGCGGGAAGAAGACGAGGAGGTTCGGGACTGGGCCCGAGCGCGAGCTACAATTTCTATCGGAGATTTTCGTTCGGAACTGGGAAGTGTGAGTAACGCAGCTACCGGTGATTAAAGTAGTGTTTTTTCTTGTAGTCATCAACGCTTCGGCTCAATGGTTTCGACAGGTTTTACGACGTAAAACAGCTTCTTCATGCCTCCCGTTTTTGGTTAACATTTGGGAAGGGCAGTTCCTTCGGTACTCCAAAAACTATTTCGGAGAGAACTGTTCTTGGCAATGCAGTGAAAAGGAGGAGAGCCCGAGCACAGCTACATTCAGCGCTCAAACAGGGAGAGGGAGGGCAAGCATGTACCTTCCACTGCATTGCCTAGAAAAGCTGTCCCTGACAGCTTTTATAAAATATGCGTATTTTAGGCCAAGCGTGTCTCCGGTTACGGTCACGTGACTATAGTCTCCAAGAGGGTCACAAGGCAGAGAACGGGACCTGCCTGAAGGACACTGCTTGGTAGACCACTCACATAGCTTCCATTGCACTATCAGCTTTGGGACGAACTCACAAAAGTATCCAGTGACAAATGCTCTCGCCTATTTCATTGTTCAGATGACCCTCGAAGATAAGCCTTTTGTCGGCGCACCCTCCTGGGGACCT